TTGACATTGCTGTTCGGCAGTGCTTAGAGAGAGGGCAGGGAAAACCTTTGATTCCCAGTCCTTCAAGGGGACTGTATCTCAGGCTTTGGGCCCTCAGCCTGGAATCTGTAGGCAGACCCCCAGCCGTGTTTGAGCATTCCACAAAATCAGACCCCCTTCCTTAATTTCCTGCCTTTTGTGTGTCTCCCTCGTGCAGCATCTCCTTAGTCTGAGAGTGTGGGAAGCCCTAGACTGTGGCTGATTTCCTGGTCTCCTACGTTTGTTTGGTTTTGCCTCTGAAATTTTCTTGGTTTTGAAATACAGTTCCTCAGTGTCTGGAATTTTATCTCATTTTCTGCTGTGATAACCCAGCCTTTAGGTGCTGGACAACTTGTGAGCTCTCCCATGAGGAGTTTTACTGGGTGAACGAACATTCTGGATGGAGGTCAGTTATTTACATGTCACAGCGTCATCCTACTAAGTAGAAACATGGGCCCTGAAGCACCTGAGTGGAGTGGTCAGCATGTTCCAGAATGCCAACATTGAGTGTAGCGTGAGAGCTTGGCTTGTGGCTCCAGTTGTCCTTCCGGTTCTTGGTGTGTCACAGAATTGTCTCTCGAGGACATGGTGGCAGTGTTGTTGGAGTACACGAAGGATCATCCCCCTTGATTTGGCATGAACAAAATTTTTAATTTTGTTATTTTTAAAGCTTTTATTTACTTATTTGAAAAGAGAGAATGAGAGAGAGAACCTGAGAGTGGGGAGGGTCAGAGGGAGAAGCCGATCCCTGCTCAGCAGGGATCCCAGTGGGAACTCAGTCCTCGAATTCCAGGATCATGACCCCAGCTGGAGGCAGTCGCCTAACCACCTGAGCCACCCAGGCGCCCCTGGCTGTGTGTTTTTGATGACACTCATTCAGTGTTTTTTGTCTTATTAGGGAATTGTTTGATCAGGGAATGAATGTTTTTTCGTGTGTTTTACAAGGTTTCTTTCCTGAGTGCTGTGTGATATGGAGGAGGAGGAGGCTTTGTCCAAAAATTTATATAACCTCTGGAATTTGGTGAAAATGTGGTCATAGATATCCTCTCTATATCTGTTTTTGCTTGAGTTAGTACCTGCTGATTGACAAATAACCTTTCTCATTTGAATGAATTTGGGTTTTTAGAATTGGGCATATGGATATCTTGAGACTATGCTTTAGTTATGAAGTATCTGTGTTTACCTCAGAAATAACAGAGAAATTCATTCGTAATATGTTTTGTAAGATATTTTGGGTTTTCCAAAGTATATCTTAAGTTTTCTAAGTATAATTTGCTAGGTTTTATATGAATTTATACAGATGTTTTAAAGTTCAATTCAGGGCGCCTGGGTGCATCAGTTGGTTAGGCGACTGCCTTTGGCTCAGGTCATGATCCCGGACTTCCAGTATCGTCCCATATCGGGCTCCCAGCTCCTTGGGGAGTCTGCTTCTCCCTTTGACCCTCTCCTCTCTCATGCTCTCTTTCACTCATTCTCTCTCAAATAAATAAAATAAAAAATCTTTAAAAAAATAAAGTTCAATTCAGATTTATTGTTAAATCATTCCTGTGTCGAGATTACCGTGTAACTCTTGGTATGCTACACTAATACCTAAAATCTAAGTTTATGTTCTCAGGTGTTCTGTAGTTCTCTGGCTGTTGTTGTTTCTTATGGTGATCACTTAAGCACACACATCTTCTGGCACTGGGAAATAGACTTTCTGCCGTTAAATGCTACTGATAATACTGCCTTAGAAGTTATTCCTTGCTCTCGGTCATATGACCCTTAAGGTTATATATAATAATACAGTCTAATAAGGTCTAATAAGGTGGAGTAAGACTCAGCAAACTGGTAAGGAGGTCAGTGGAAATTACCGTGTCTGAGGAGCACAAAGGAAAAGACCAAGTGTGAATGAACAGAGTCTAACAGTCTTGGAAGACAACATCATGTGGGCCAACATATGAACCACGGGAGCCCCAAAAAGAAAGGAGAGAAGGAGGCAGAAGGAATATTGGAAGAAATATGGTAGACAATTTCTTTCTTTTTTTTTTTTTTCAAAGATTTTATTTATTTATTTGACAGACAGAGATCACAAGTAGGCAGAGAGGCAGGCAGAGAAAGGGGGAAGCAGGCTCCCTGCTGAGCAGAGAGCCCGATGCGGGGCTCGATCCCAGCACCCTGGGATCATGACCTGAGCCGAAGGCAGAGGCTTTAACCCACTGAGCCACCCAGGCGCCCCGTATGGGTGCATTTTTAGAAAATTCTAATGTCTATATATATTTCTTACAAATATACATATTCTTTAATTGCTGAATTTAGGGTTACTAAAATGTTTGTTTTTTCATTGTTAATAGATAATTGTAGCATATATTATGGAATGTAAGTACAGAACACAGATTATTACCATTGCAGTATGCCTATTCTGCATGGATGCAGTTTTATAGCAAGTATTCAGAAGAATATTTTGTTATTCTTAAAGCTTTGTTTTAATGTTGTGTACAATAAGTATTTGGTCATTGAATTTGGTGTGTATTTTTCTTTGAAATAAGAGCTACCTTTCTGCCTCCCCTAGGGTGCTGTGATCTCTGGGGTACCTGTAGAGATTTCCTAAGTTTCCAGGGCTGTCATAATTTTTGATCACAGAACATTTATAAGTAGGCTTCCCTGAAAATAATTTGAACTGCCTGTAATCAGCCTTTCTTTATTGAGAAATTTTATGTTCTTTGAATTTCTATTCACTTGCATACCATGGTTGACAAATGTAATAACTCTATAATTATGAGTTTAAATTTTGGTGTAATTTTTTTGGCATAATATTTTTTATTAAAAAATATCTATCTTCGGGACGCCTGGGTGGCTCAGTTGGTTGGACGACTGTCTTCGGCTCAGGTCATGATCCCAGAGTCCCGGGATCGAGTCCCGCATCGGGCTCCCAGCTCCATGGGGAGTCTGCTTCTCCCTCTGAGCAAGACCTTCTCCTTGCTCATGCTCTCTCTCTCAAATAAATAAATAAAATCTTTAAAAAATGTATATATCTATCTTCAAACTCTGGTTAATAGGAAGCCTATGATTCTTTATATCTTACAGAGATCTCTACTAGATGTATGAGCAAAGAATTACCACCAAAAGAAGATATTAATAATGGAGAATTATTCCAAACATTAATTTTGGAAAGACACATAATTCATAAGTTTAATGATTTTGATTTGAGGAGGGTCCAAGATGTAAACAAATTTGAGACTCAGTGGCTTTATGAAGGAAAAGGTTATGAAGACACTGCAACCCATTACAAAAATCTCACCTATAGGAAACATCAACATCATAAATTCTGTAATCATTTTCCTGTAAAGCATAATGTTTCCATAGGAAGAAGTACCTCTGAATATTACAAACATGACACGATGAATAAGGCACTAAAAAACAAGGCAGGCTCTTCAGGAAGCAAGTACAGAGACTGTTTGGACAATAGGCTTGGATTAAGCTTTCATTCACATCTGGCTGAGCTACAGAGATTTCAACCCCAAGAGGAAATTCATGAAAGTAATCAAGCTGAGAAGTCTACCAGAAAGACTTCAGTTTCACTTCAAAAAATTCCTTCTAGTGTCAAAACCAACATTTTTAATAAATATGGGAAGGTTCTTATGCATCCTTCATTATGGACACACCACCAGAGAGTACTCAATAGAGAAAATCCTTACAAATGTAATGAGTATGGGAAGGCTTTTAGCCATTGTTCAACCTTAGCTACGCATCAAAGAATTCATTCTGAGCAGAAACCTTACAAAAGTAACGAGTGTGGCAAAGCCTTTAAGAGGTTCTCAAACCATACAAGGCATCAGAGAATCCATACCGGAGAGAAAACATATAAATGTAATATCTGTGGTAAAGATTTTGCCACACGGTCACATCTCTGGGGTCATGAGCGAATTCATACAGGAGAGAAGCCTTACAAATGTAATGAGTGTGGCAAAGCCTTTTCTGATAGTTCATATCTTGCTCAACATAAGAATTTCCATTCCGGACAGAAACCTTACAAATGTAATCAATGTGGCAAGGATTTTGCCACACGTTCACACCTTTGTATTCATAAGAGAATTCATACTAGAGAGAAACCATTTCGATGTAATGTATGTGGTAAGAATTTTATGATACCTTCACAGCTTTGGGGTCATGAGCGGATTCATACTGGAGAGAAGCCTTATAAGTGTACTGAGTGTGGCAAAGCCTTTTCTAGTGGTTCAAATCTTGCTCAACATAAGAGAATCCATTCTGGAGAGAAACCTTACAAATGTAATCACTGTGGTAAGGATTTTACCACACGGTCATACCTTTGGAGTCATGAGAGAATTCATACTGGAGAGAAACCTTACAAATGTAATGAGTGTGGCAAAGCCTTTATCAGGAGTTCAAATCTTACTCAACATAAGAGAGTGCATGATGGGGAGAAACCCTATAAATGTAATGTATGTGACAAGGCCTTTAGTCAGAATGCAAGCCTCACTGTTCACCAAAGAATTCATACTGGGGAGAAACCTTATAAATGTCATGAATGTGGGAAAGCCTTTAAGCACTACTCAAGCATCAATAAACACCATAATACACATAGAGAGAAGACACAAATATAAAGTGGTAAGACCTTTATTAAATATTTATACCTTTGGAGTCATGAGAGAATTCATACCAGAGAGGAACCTTACAAATGTCACGAATATGGCAGATCCTTTAAGCGCTGTTCAAGCTTGAGTAGATACCAGAATATACATAGAGTGAAGATATAGATGTAAAGCCTGTGGTAAGGCTTTTGTTAAATATTCTCACCTTTGGAGTCATAAGGGAATTCATAATGCAAAGAAACCTCACCAAAGAATGTAGTACAGCTTTCATGCCATGGCCTGTCCTCAGGATTCACCAAAGATTTCACGAGAAAACCCTACTAATATAATGAGTGCTGGTACATTGCTTAAGCAATGTTAACCTGCAATGTACAATCAGAGACTTTAGTAGTATGAACTAAGTCTAATTTTTGAAGATTAATTAAATCAAGTGTTAAACTCTGCAGGAAAATTAAAAGTCAAAATGTTTTAAAATTCATGAGATGAAGGGTGTCAAAGGAGCAGGGATATCTGTGGAACAACCTGTTTCAGCTTGTTCAGTCTATATGATCTTTTAATTTTCTGTTTCTTGATGAAATTATTTGATTATGGACTTTGGACTCGTGATTGAAAATCTGTTAATGATATGTCTTCATTACAGACCTTTCATGAATTGCCACATGTGTCTGTGATGGTTCCTTTTGTTTTGGTTCTAATGTAAATGGTATTTTGTCTTTAATTTTTACTTTGCTTGTTTATTTCTGGTACCTAGGAAGGCAGTTAACTTGTGATCGTTAACTTTGTATCCTCCTGCCTTGCCATCATACTGTATTTTATCTGCCATACTTTGGGCATCATAAAATTGTTCAATGCTATAGTGACAGGTGCCACTTTGTCTTGTTCCTGGAATAAAAAGAAAGGATTCTCTGTTACAGTACTAATATCAAGCAAATCTTGCAGTTATTAAGTCCAACCTGGTTATGGGGCAGATTCCTATTGTACTTTGCGGCGATCAGAGTATCTGCAGTTTATTAAGATTTCAGAAGCTGGGGCGCCTGGGTGGGGCAGTCAGTTAAGCATCTGACCCTTGGTTTCAGCTCAGGTCATGGTCTCAGGGTTATGAGATCAAGCCCTGCATCTGGCTCTGCACTCAGTGTGGAGTCAGCTTAAGGCTCTCTTCTCCCTCTGCTTCTCCCCACTACCGTCTCTTTTTCCCTCTAAATAAGTCTTAAAAAAAAAAAAAAGATTTATGCATAATTGGTATTGCCATATAGAATAAATCTTTACACATAAATGGAACCTGGTCACAGACAGAATTATAAATAGCATACCAGCTAAATGTAGATCTAGATTATGGGAAGAACATCATCAGCCACCTATTCCCGTATATTGTGTTGATCACGATACGATTTTTTACCACCCCCTGTAGGTTTAAGTCCCCAGTCTGCTGCTAAACAGGATGCAAAGTTACTGAAATCACTCAAAACGGTGCTTCATAGTCCTCCTTAGAATGGAAGTAGTAGTGTCTACCCCTAGATTTGTAAGGAATAGAGTTAACTGTCCTTGCAGCACCGATTCTTAATATTGTAGGTGTTTGTCCTTTCCGGAGGATTTGCCTGGGGTGGGGTGGGGGGCAGAAGGTAACATGGTACCTGCTATTTCTTAGACAAACCTGACTAATTTTTCCTGTATCCCTTTTCCTCACATGGCTGATGTAATTTCACAATTGCTGTATAGCCTGGGGTTGTCATGGGAGAAAGAATTAATTCATAGGGAACGTAACATGACGGAAAGCTTTGCAATGCAGGATAATACAAATTTCACAGGCAGCAAAATTCCCCATAAACAAAATGGATCCATGACTTTCAGATATAATTGCCTTCTCCCCAACTGTTGAGAGTTTAATGAAAGTTCTACAAGTCACTTACTTGCTTGTGATCATGGGAGTCCATGTGTGAAACCCCTTTCATGCAACTTGGCTAGTAGGCAATATTACATGATACAGCATAAACGACATAATTACCTTCTGAAGGTCCTCATCTATCCCCAGCACTGTATTTTTTTTTTTTAACGTGCAGGAAACAAATGCATGGAATGATTTGGTAATAGGATTGGATTCTCTTTCAGTAATATCTAGGTTATGTGCAGACATTTAAAACAGGATACACATTGTAAATGTAATCAAGCAAATAAGTCTATCCAAATGGCTTCCTAGTGTCACAACCTGAAAGAATCCTGCCTAGTGTCAAAACCAACATTTGCATAAAGGTAGGAAAGTTTTGGTCCCTTCTTTGTTGATAACAAAATATAGTTCTACATATTACAAAGAAACTGCAAAAGTAATGAACTTGGAAAGTCTTTAGACAGGATGAATCTTCAATAATCAGAGATTCATACTGGGGAGATCTTAAAGTTATACATAGTGGAGCACTGTATTTAACCAAATCAAACATTATTAAACATCCATAAATAAATACCTCAGAGAAATCTTAAAATATATGTGGCAACATTTTCACCCAAAATTCAATCCTTGTGAGATCACCACAATATTAATTTTGGAATGAAAACTTAAGAATTTTACAAGTAATGATACTCAAGCCTTAGTAAATGTTAAGTAATTCAAATATTATAAACATCAGAAGCTATAAGCAGTGCTTAAAACTTATAAAACACCACATAATGTATACAGAAGTGAAACCTTACAAATTTAATATATTAAAAACTTTTTTATCCAGAATGCCTTTATCTCATAAATTCTTACTATAGAATTCATCTTTAACATATATAGATTTTAGAGAAACATGTGGATATTAACTCAATTTTCCAAAGGTCTGATTTATACCTTTAATAATCTTTAAGGCAATATCCGTCAGTCTATAATCAAGTATACTTGAGCAGGATTGTAATCTACACCTGACAGAACATTTAGAAATAGAAAAACAAAAATGCTGGGTGCTTGGGTGGCTCAGTGGATTAAAGCCTCTGCCTTCAGCTCAGGTCATGATCCCAGGGTCCTGGGATTGAGCCCCCCCCATTGGGCTCCCTGCTCATTGGGGAGCCTGCTTCCTCCTCTCTCTCTGTCTGCCTGGCTCTCTGCCTACTTGTGATCTCTGTCAAAAAAGTAAATAAAATCTTGAAAAAAAAGACATTATGAAAATGTTAATTACTTTGGATAAAAGTAAATTTAATAGGTCACTTAGTACCAAAAGAATTAGGAAGTGTCTGGAATTTTTCATTTTAAACAATGCGTTCTCTGGGTTCTGCTACACAGCCCAAACAGTATGTGCTTTTTCTATTGTGCGTTTTCATGCCCCTGTCCCAAAATGGGTTTTTTTTTTTTTTAATGTTTCTTTCAGATTTTATTCTTTTGAGAGAGATACAAAGAGAATGAGCAGAGGGAGAGGCAGAGGGAGAAGCAGGCTCCCCACTAAGCCAGGAGCCTGATGTAGGGCTTGATCTGAGGACACTGGGATCCTGACCCAAGCCAAAGGTAAAGATTTAACCATCTAGCCACCCAGGTGCCCCAGGTTTTATTTTATGTACCCAAGTCTTAACTTTCTCAATACAGAAAAAAATGTCCATAAAAAAACTAAAGTGAATTTGCAATTATATTTAGAAATTACTGAGAAATTAATTATGGTGTCACAAAGGTTTATCTCAAGTTGAGTGTATCAGTCACCTCAAGTGTGGAATACATCAACAAACATAAAGAACAATTCAAGTTAGATCTGTATTTTAAAAAAATAATTTTCAGCAGTTAATGATGACCTATATATCACAGGTCTCAAACCCCATCTCCCACACACCAGGTCTTGTGCCTATGAATGGCTCTAAAAATGAGCATAGGATTGAGTACATGATAAATGGGGCTTGAAATAGAAATGACATTCTGAAAAATGCTGGTGAATAATAGCACATTTCACATTTCAGTTTGCATCCCCTACAGAGACAGGTGCACTCCTTTCTTCAATTGCTTACATTCTAATGCAGGAGACATTCCTGGATCCAGCCATGGCCCCACATCCCTCCCCACAGAGGAACCTGGGCCCAGACCACTCAGTACTTTACACCTGTCGCAGGATGTGCATGTCTATCTCTAAATGAGGATTTTTGTTTGTTTTTTGCATTGCATTGTTTGTTTATTTGAGAGAGAGGGAGAACACACACTGCAGGGGTGGGGAGGCAGAAGAAGGGGAAGCAGACTCCTCACTGAGCCAGGAGTCTGACATGGGGCTGGATCCCAGGACTCCAGGATCACCACCTGTGCCAAATGCAGACACTTAACTCACTAAGCGACCCCGGCGCCTCAAAGTTTTTTATTTAAATACCAAATATAGTTAACATTCAGTGTTATACTAGTTTCAGGTATACCATATAATGATTCATCAATTGTATACACAGTGCTCATCATGGTAAGTGTGCTCTTAATCCCCATCATCTATTTCTCCCCTCCCCTCTCCCCGATGGACCTCCCCTCTCGCAACCTTCAGTGTGTACTATAGTTTAAAGTCCTAAATTGGTTTATCGTTCCTTTTTCCTTTGTTCATTTGTTTCTTAGATGCCACATATGACTGAATCTTACAGTATTTGTCTGACTTACATCGATCAGCATGATACCCTCTGGATCCAACACTGTTGTTACACATGCCAAGATTTCACTGTTTAATGGCTGAGAAACACTCCATTGTGGTTGTGTATGTATATGTATACACACACACACACACACACACACACACACATCTCCTTTATCCATTCCTCTATCAACTGATACTTAACTGCTTCATAATTTGGTTATTATAAATAACGCTACAGTAAACATAGGGGCGCATATATCCTCTTGAATTAGTGTTGTTTATATTCTTTGGGTAAATACGAAGTAATTCCATTACTGGTTGGAAGGTAGTTACTTTTACTTGAGGAACCTCCATACGGTCTTCCACAATGTCCGCACCAGTTTGAATTCCCGCACACAGTGCAGGAGCATTCCTTTTTCTCCACATCCTTGCCAAGATTTGCTCCTTGTCGTAAAATGGTTTTTCAGGATCGCCACTTTCACCTTAATAGAATGTAACCACGTTAGCGTTCAACACAAAGGGCCCACAAAACTCCATCCTTTACCTCAAACTTTGGAAAACATCAACTTAAATAGGCAGGCAGCAGTCCTGCTCCACAGGACGCGGCAGAAATTGGCAGGGATGAAAAGTCCAAAACCACGTAGTGGGAGCAGAGGCAGAGGAAACCAGGCTCCATCCAGATCCTGCACGAGGTCCTGGTTGTGTCCCCAGGCTCCAGACCCTGGTCGTTTGGGCTCCCTGAACGCCGGAATCTCCCGGTCCACGCCCTAGCCAGACCCCGCCCAACGGTCGTGGCCTCGACTCCGACGGCGCAGACAAGGCGACCCTTCCCGCGCGCCCGTCGCCGGAAGCTCTACGCCGTTTCCGACCCATTCGGCCCCGCCCCCGCCCTGGACCCAAAGATCATATCCGTTTCCCTCTCATTGCCGGAAATTCTTCTCCGAAACTAAACCCCATCCCGCCCGCAGAATTCAGGGCGAAGGCCTGGCCAGTACAGGCTTCCCCCGGCAGTCGGAGGCGCCCCACTCAGACCCTCCCGTAGGCAGCGAGCACCCCGGCCCGGCAGCACTTCGCATCCGACTGATTACCGGAAGCGCCCCTCACAGTCTCGCCGGTGCTCCGGCGCGCACG